TTTCCCTGTCTCCACCACCATCCCGCACGGAGCCACCACCAGCCCCTCCGTATGGCAACAGAGTGTCCTCCCTGGTCTTTCTGCCACCACGGCGACCGGCAGGCTGCTCTCCACCTGCAGCTTGGATGATCGTGCCAAAGGCCCAGCAGACCACATGCCTCCCTGCTTAATGCCCGCCAGGGCGCCCACTGTCCTGGGGAGAAAGAGCAGCCTCTGACATGGCTCCCGAGCCCTGCTGGGCTGGCCCCCGTCCCCGTCCAACCTCATCCCCCGGGAGTGGCTCCAGCCGCCGGGCCTCCTTGCAGCCATCTGATCATGCTGTGCTTCCTGCCCCGGGGTGCCTCTGCACGCACTTCTCCCCGGCTGGAAAACTGCCTGGCCCTCTTTGCCTGCTTGCATTCCACCTATCACTGCATTCAGCTGTCACCCCCCTGGGGAGCCCTGGGCCTCTTGACGTGGACACTCCATGGCATCTTGTCGACCATGGATGAAGTTGTGCACCGGCCCATAGGCCCTGATTGGTGGGCGCTGGGACTGCCTTTGCTCCCTTCCAGGGCCCACAGCAGCACCTGGCACGTAGCCCATGCTGGGTCTATGTCTGTTGAATGATTTAATGACGTCAGTCATCTTGCCCCATTTTATGAATCAGGAGGTCAGCTCAGACAAGTTAGGCACTTTACCCAAGGTTGTTCAGGAAATGGAGTGTGGCATTCCACCTGCGTTGGTTTGCTGGGGCTGCCATAACAAATGTCCACAGTCTGGGTGTTTTAAAATAATGGAAGTCTTGGGACCAGCAGTTAGCGTAATGACTATGTCGCTGAACTCCCATGTAGTCGACCACAGTTCAAGTCCCAGACCCAGTGGCTTAAACTCGCCGGGCGCATGTGCGTGCATGCCCAAGATCCTGAGAGGAGAATGGAGGAGAAGGGATTGCGGCGTGGCCATCCTTCTTGGGGGTGGTTTCTCGCTTTCTGTCTCTCTCTGTCTTTCTGGTGAGCACATGCCCCCTGTAGAAAAAAACCTCTCAAAAAAAAAAAGAAGGAAGTCTTAGGGCCAGCAGGTGGCATGGTGGTTAAGGGCACTGGACTCCCACATGGCCGACCACAGTTCAAGTCCTGGACCTGGCAGTTTTCTTTCTCACTTTCCCTCTTTCTCGCTCACTCACTCTGTCCCTCTCTGGTCAAATTTTTAAAAAAATTAAATAATTCTTTAAAAATAAAATAAAACAATGGAAGTCTCGGGACCAGCAGATAGCGTAGCTGTTACATGGCTGGACTCTCACGTAGTCTATCGTGATTTTGAGTCCCAGACCCAGCTGCTTAAAACTCACGCTGGGTACATCTGCTTGCATGCCCCAAGTTTCAAGAGGAAAATAGAGGAGAAGGGATTGAGGCATGACTGTCCTCCCTGGGCAGGGGTGAGGAGGGGTGGTTTCTTGCTTTCTGTCTCTCTTTTTCTGTCTCTCTGGTGAGTGCACGTGCCCTATAGCAAAAACCTCTCTAGAAAAAATAAATAAATAAACAATGGAGGTCTCTTCTCTGTCAGTCTCTAGGCCAGAAGTCTGAAATTAGAGTCTCAGAAGGGATGCGCTCCCTCTGAAGGCTCTAAGGAAATACTTCGCGTCAGTTTCTCGTAGCTTCAGGCAGCCTGGCCCGCAGCTGTTACTGCCACCTCCTCCTTCCTCTCCGTGTGTCTCCTGTAAGAACGTTTATGCAAGGTGATCTCATCTCAAGACCTTTAGCCTAATTACATCTGCAAAGACCCTTTTTCCAAGTAAGGTCGCGTTCATGTGTTCTGGGACTCGCACGTACATTTTGGGGGCCGCCGTGCAGTCCCCTGCGCCAGCCCAGGCGTGTTCTAGGTGGCCGGCCCTGGCTCCTCAGATGCACTTTCCCGCCCCACAGTCCCTTGCCACCACCTCTCTGCCGGGGTCTTCTGCCATCACCTACGTGGCTTCTCACGTTCCCTAAACTAGGAGAGGTTTGGGTGCAGAGACCTCTGATGCCTATACTGACGGCAAGTGGGGAGAGGGGACACAGGACTGAAGAGGAGATCTGCCACCGCCAACCGTGTGACAGAGCAGCTCCTGCCCCGTCCCCCCACAGTCCCGCTGGTGGGAGGAGGAGGAAGAGCAGGATTTCAGGAGCCGGAGCAGAGCAAGAAAGAACGCAAGGTCTGCGGGGCTGGGCAGAGGCTTTGGGCCGGTGAGGCAGCCTTGGTAAGCGAGCTGAGGAGGGCAGTGGGTGGATCTCACCTGGCAGCTGTGAGGTGCCCTCCGTGGGGATGGCAGAGAGTCAGGGTGAGGGGCAGCGCCAGGGTCATTCTGAGGGTGGACACAGCAGAAAGGCTGCCAGATCAGACACAGGGGCTGGAAGAAAGCCAGGATTCAGAGGGGACCTCTCCAGTCTGGGCTTCGGTCACCCGGTGCCAGCTGCGAGGCCATCGGATCCTGTCTTAGGAACCTTGGCGTTCATCTCCGTGACCCTTTTGTGAAAGGTGGTGCTCAGAGACCTTACAAGAGTTTGGAGTTGGGACTTGCTGAAGGTCACGTGAGTGTCCTCTCACCCCTGCTTGCTAATGAATATTTAGCCCTGCCCCTTCTGCCAGGGTGGCCAGGCCTGTAGGCTACCCTGTCCTGGAGTTCTTGCTGTGAGAGTGGTAACTTTATTTTTGTTGTTGTTGTTTTAGGTTTTTACCATAGGGAGACAGAGACAGTGAAAGAAAAAGTGAAAAAATCACCCCCAGGGGGATGGCAACGCTGCAATCCTGTCTCCTCCACTCTCCGGGGATTTGGGGCATACGCATACGTGCACCCGACATGTCTTCCAAGCCATGAGGTCCAGGACTCAAACCGTGGTTGGCCACGTGGGAGTCAGGCTCTTTAACCACCACACCTGTTGACCCCTTTTGATTTTTTTTATTTTAATTAATTAGGGGCTGGCAAGTGGTGTGGTGGATAAAGGTTCTGGATTCCCACAAGACCAACCACGGTTGGTCTCTCTCTCTCTCTCTCTCTCTGTCTGGTCAAATTTTTAAAAATAATGAAAAATGGAATTAAATAAATCTTAAAATTTTTTAAATTAATTAATTATTGTTAGAGAGATTTTTGCTATTGGGTGTGTGTGCTCGCCAGAGAGACAGAGAGAGACAGAAAGTGAGAAATCACCCCCTGAGGAGTGGTTCATGCCACAATCTCTCTCCTCCATTTTCTTCTCAGGATTTTGGGCACACACACACACACATGTGCCCAGCGTGAGTTTGAAGCTGCCGGGTCCGGAACTTGAACCAAGATCGGCCATGTGGTAGTCCAGCAATGTAACCATTATGCCACCTACTTGTCCCTTATTTTATTTTTTTAAGAGCTCCCTATACCCTTGCTACTGCCAGTGTGGTCGGGCTCTGCTGGGATCAAGACCCCAGGTGAATCCCTGTGCTCTGCAGCCAGAGACACACTGCTCTATGGCCCAGCCCCATGTAGGGGTCTGGGCCTGCTCTACCCAAACTGAACACCCCACACCAGATCTTAGAGCTGGAGGGGCCTGGAGGGTCTGGGCCAGCCTCTGCTCTGGCAAGCGAGATGGCAGTGCTGTTTCTGCATGGCTCGGGAGGCCCAGTGGTTCGCCTCCAAGGGAGGGGTGAAGGTGGCCTGTGAGCGCTGCTCCGTCGTCGGACTCGGAGTCCGGGGCGTTCTCTGCCTGTGCACCCTGCGGCTTGCATGTCCAAGGGCTGCGCAGTCTCAGGAGTTGTCACATATTTCATTCAAGAGTGATCAGATCACTTTCTTTTAAAAGAATTATTTTATTTAACTTTATTTATTATTATTATCATTATTATTTTTCAGTTTGATCAGAGAGAGACAGAGAGAGAGAGGAAGTGAGAAAGCAAGCCACCAGGTCCGAGACTTGAACCATGGTCGGCCATGTGGGAGTCCAGCACCTTTAACCATCATGCCACTTGCCGGCCCCGATCAGATCACCTTTTAGAGTGTATTTATTTATGCTTTCGTGAGAGAGACCCAGAAGCCCTGCAGGTCCATGCACTGCGACCCACCCTAGTCTCTCCAAGGCACAGGTATGCACCCCACATGCACAGGGAGACCCCAGGGCCCTCCCCGTGGGTTTAGCTTTGCGACCACCACACCCCCACAGTGGCCCACTGTGTTTCTCCCTGACAGACGTGAGGGAGGAAGAAGAATGTCTGGTCCTCAGGACTGTCTTGGGGAGAGGTTGAGTCCACACAGTGGTCTGAGGTTCGAGTGGCTGGAGAGCAGGACCACACCTGAGCACCTGGGCTCTGATAGGAGGATCACTGTGATGAGGACTTGTGTGTGTCATACCGGCAAAAGAATTATTTTATTTAACTTTATTTATTATTATTATCATTATTATTTTTCAGTTTGATCAGAGAGAGACAGAGAGAGAGAGGAAGTGAGAAAGCAAGCCACCAGGTCCGAGACTTGAACCATGGTCGGCCATGTGGGAGTCCAGCACCTTTAACCATCATGCCACTTGCCGGCCCCGATCAGATCACCTTTTAGAGTGTATTTATTTATGCTTTCGTGAGAGAGACCCAGAAGCCCTGCAGGTCCATGCACTGCGACCCACCCTAGTCTCTCCAAGGCACAGGTATGCACCCCACATGCACAGGGAGACCCCAGGGCCCTCCCCGTGGGTTTAGCTTTGCGACCACCACACCCCCACAGTGGCCCACTGTGTTTCTCCCTGACAGACGTGAGGGAGGAAGAAGAATGTCTGGTCCTCAGGACTGTCTTGGGGA